TTTATGTTAGAATCATATAATTCTAGTGTTAAAGATATGTGTTATATTTATTTGTTTTGGGTGGTAGGGATCAAAGCCAAGTCCTGTGCATATTATGAACGTGTTCTACCACTGAGCTCCACACCCCTGGTCCAGTATTAGATCCTCTTGTACTTAGTCTACTAAAGGTCATTAGGATGTTGTAGAGTCTTATGACTGTTCCTGGAGCACAAGATGACAAGCCTAATGGCAAATTCCACCACATCTGAGTGCTACAAAATATTCCAGGGAACACATGTGTCTCTTCGCTCTTCCTACTATGGTGGGTATAGGTCAGCGGAGTCACTTGCTTCTTGTAACTCCTGTTCAAGTCTCCTACAGGATAACACAGCCTCAGAGAGTGGATAACATATTTTAGAAGATTGTAGATTTCCAAGTCCTGGCATGATGTAGGAGAACATTTTGCCGCATCAGTAGCCACTGTCTTCTTTTACTTACATAATATAATTTTCATGTCATTTGAAGACATTAAGAACATTTGTATTATTATTATTTGTATTATTATCTCGTGGGATCAGTTTTGGCCACTTGTGTAAAGAATGAAATATGCATTTAAACAATTACTAAAATATTCAGTCCAATTTCTGACAAATAAATGATGTGAAATGAAAGAATAACATGTTAGTAAAACAAGAGCTCATATCTTCCTTAATTCATAAAATAAACATCTATAATTTTTTACTTTTGCTTCCTTAAAATCTGAACCCATTTAACAAAGCAGTAGGAATATTAACATCTTTTTTATATTCTAATTTTTAGACACAATATGTAGTTGCCAATTTGATAGTATTGTTTTGGCATCTCATTTTTTTTTAAAGTCAACATACAAAACAAAACCATGTGTATTTGTTCATTTATTTGGAAAGGGAGGCCTACCCAAAATCAAGAGCTTTTATGATTTTAATTAAGTCCCAAGTAGAAGCAAACCACAAGCAAAAATTAAGACAGTATGTCTTTAAGGGAAGTTTTATTGACCTTGCTAGTGTCAGTTGTGGGAGTAATTCCAGAACTCTGGATGAACTTTCCCATAGTAACTTTTGTTATTTCCTGTACAGGGCTCAGTAAGTCTCTTTGAGACATTGATTCATGTTTATAGACCTTCTCTCTTGGCATTTAGACACCCACCCCCAGCACTACCACGAACAGTTGGAAAGATAAGCACTTAGAGTCCTGTTCCTTAACATGAGGGCTATGTGAACATGTTCTAAGCTGCTGTCCTTACATTTTGTGGTTATCATGTATGTAGTTTAAGCAGTTTAAGCAATAAGGGATTATCTTTACACTCTGTGTAATGCATCAAACTCACTGTGTCACCATTTTAAAAAAGGTGATAACAATTTTCTTAACAAAGATCTCATTCAAGCCAAATCAGTAAAGAATATTCAGCATCCTCCTTAGTTACTTTGTAAATTAAAATTAGGAAAATAGTCCATGGCTTCCAAGCATGAGAAGTTATATAAAACTTTGATGCATCGAGGCCCTGAATAATAGAAGTCTTGACCCCCAGGATTTAACTCAAAAGTGTTTGAATAATAAATAAAAAAAAAATTTGGAAGCAGACTTCATCTGAAATTCACAACAGAAGTTTATTTAGTGTTGATGGAAAGAACAAAACGTAAAAAGTTAATTGCAATGGGGATTTATCATTCATCCATATCACACTGTATTTAGTGTCCATCTGGGATGTCATAGTGTTAGAAATACATAGATAAACAAAAGCACACTTGGGCTTTGCCCTTTTGGTTCTTACAGTCTAGTAGGAGAGTAAAATCAAAAGAGAACTGGAATTGGAACTGGGCACATTTCTTATCAAGTTCTACTGCGTATTTGCTAAGTGTGGCCTTGAACAAGCCACTCACGGAATTATAATAAATAACATTAGAGTTCCTGTGCTCTTCCAGCCCTCATAATGTTTAACAACATTTTAATCCTATTGCTGGAAGGTAATAAGTCCTCTAGCATCAGCATCTTTTTTCCCAGAGCACGGTTCCACCGTGTCTTTCCATAGGAAATCCTTGCTGTAGCACAAACTGATCTCCCACATGCTGCTGCTCTGCGGGTGTATTTGTATGACTTTACCCCAGGAGAGTGTTCGTCCCCTTTCCCCAGTGAAATCTTTGCTTCTTTTCCTCTTCCTCTTCCTCCTCCTCCTCTTCTTTTTCTTTCTCCTCTTCCTCTTCCTACTCCTCCTCCTCTTCTTCTTCTGATATAGATGCGGTTGTCACAGAAGGTGGGGAGAACTTTAGCGTGGGGCAGAGACAGCTGTTCTGCCTGGCCAGGGCCTTCGTCCGCAAGAGCAGCATTCTCATCATGGATGAAGCTACAGCTTCCATCGACATGGCCACGGTGAGTGCGGGTCTCAGAATGTGCATGGCAGTGACAGTCAGTGATCTTCCTCAGTGTCCTTCCTGATTGGGTTCTTTTTTTTTAAATGTACATAGTACAGGGTCTACACAGATGGGACTCATAGTGTTCCTCCTGTTTTCAGCCTCGCAAGGGCTGGGATTACAGGTGCATGCCACCACACCCAATCTCAATGGCCAGCTCAGAGCACCCCTGGGGTGGGGCTGGCGGGGCTGGCTGGGATCGAACCCCAGCCGCTGCGCTCTGCCTAAGCAGGCGCTTTAGTCCGCTGAGCTATTTGGCCACCGGTGGGGTTCTGAAGCCTCTGTACTATTGTTTTAAATGACTTCCCAATCATCTCCCAGATTAGCTAGCGATCACACTCAGAGATGCAGTAAAGGATACATCATGTGTGCGTTAAAGGAGTTTCTATTACCAACAAACATAAAATAAATTCTGCTTCTTGAACAGTTTTTATGTTCTTTCATTTGCTGGTTGTCCCAAGTCCTTCCTAAATTGCAGCCATATAAATACAAAAAGTCATTATATCATTATATAAAAATTAGCAGTTAGCTGTTAGGTTCATGGTTATAATGTAAAAAGACCTGAAATATATGAATTGTTTTCACATTCTGTTTAATGAATCTGTACCCATTTCTTAATATTTTTATTTCTCCCTTTCTTAATATTTTTATGGCAACATGATTGTAGGCTTCTGGGAATGCTGCATGCAAAGGGCAAATAATGTTTAGATGCCTTTTAGTCAGGTTCCCAATTCATTGTTTTGCTACTCATTGATCTTTTTAATGAACACAATAATACTATGTGTGTACTGATCCATGTATGTATTACACAAAAACTCTGTCAAGTTAATTAGCATAACCATATCATCAGCAATTTATCAGTTTTTATACTAAGAATGTTAAAAATCTGTCTCAGCAACTTTGAGGTATATAATTGTGACATATATATGGTGACATATATAATATATATATTATTGACTGTGGTCACTATCCAACTTAATGGATCACTATGAATTGTTGGTAGTATCAAAAAGACAAGAGACAGCAGTTGTTGGTGAGAATATGGAGAAAAGGGAACCTTTGCACACTGTTAGGAGGAATGTAAACTAGTAGAACCATTCTGGAAGAGTACAAACGCTCCTTAAATCCTTAAAATGAGATCTAGCATATGATCAGTCCTACAATCCCATTATCAGACATTTGTCCAAAACAAATGAGATCCGTATATTGAAGACACATCTATCTGACAGGACAAATAAACAAATAAATAAATAAAAATTAAAAGAAAAAAATGGAAATGAAAAGAAGCAGTCAATGCTCTAATTAGCTTCATCTCCTTTTTGCAATTGTTTGTACCTTTTCTTTTCTTAATTTCTTATACATTGCTCCAGTTTTTTCTTCTTCCAATTTTATGTGTATATATCTGGTAATATGAATAGCTGGTTGTAAGACAATACCATGTATTACAACAAATACTGTGAAATTCATATTACTTTGTTAAGTAGAATTCTGTATGAGTTCTCAATAAATAAATAAAAATAAATAAAATGAAAGCAATAAAACCTCCTCCATTGGGTTATCAAAAAAAAGAAGTACTGTATTTCCTTTTGAATACAAATTACCTTAGATTTCTTGAACAGTTTTTACGTTCTTCCATTTGCTCGTTGGCCCAAGTCCTTCCTAAATTGCAGCCATATAAATACAAAAAGTCATTATATCATTATATAAAAATTAGCAGTTAGCAGTTAGGTTCATGGTATAATGTAAAAAGACCTGAAATACATGAATTGTTTTCACATTCTATTTAATGAATCTGTACCCATCAGCAAGAACCAATGTTCTGTCATTGTATATGTAACAAAATGTCATCCTTAAAAAAAATGAAGACACATCTACATGACTGCATTCATTTTAGCCTTATTCATAATAATTGAGGTACGAACACAACTTAACTTTCCATACATGGATGACTAGATTGAAACTGTAATCTATAGAAAGAATGGAATACTACACCGACTTTGAAAAGCAGGAAATTCTGTCATTTGACAACATGAACAGAACTAGAGGACATTATGTTAGCAAAACAAGCCTGTCATAAAAAGATAAATATTATACAATTTCATTTATCTTTAGAAAGGTTGTTACCAAAGGCCGGGGGAGAAGAAGAAATGGGGAGATGGACGATGTTCAAAAGTACAAAATTGTTGCTGGATTCAAGGTGTATGTTTTAGTGACCCATTATACTGCATACTGCCACCACTTTCTGATAGATTTTCAAAACAGTAAAATTCTGTCTTGATTGATGAAAGTAGATATTGTATTCAAGAATCATTCCTTAGAAGTTCCAAAGTGTCCCAATGAATCTTTAATAAAGTATTGATAAGCAAGACCAATTATTTTCTAAAGCACTTTGAAGAGGGATTTGCTAGGAATAATGACAGCTATAGTGGACAATAGCCTAATGCAGGCATTCATGGTAAAATGCGAGAAACTTTGCTTTTTGAAAAAAGTTATTTACAAAAGCCAACCAAAAAAATTTGTCTGGAAGGGTGGAGTTGGTTGGAGATAATATATTAAGCCACAAACTATGTATGAACTAGTGTTGACTGTTTCTTTCTAAGTTAATTTGATATTAAAAGCTTGAGGTTGGATGTGGTGATGCGTGCCTGTAATTTCTGAACTTGGGAGGCTGAGGCAGGAGGATACCTGTGAGTTAATTCAAAGCCAGCTTGGGCTACAAAGTGAGTTCAAGGGCAGCCTGAGCTGCATAGTGAAACCTTGTTACAAAGAGACGAAGGAAGGAAGGAAGGAAGGAAGGAAGGAAGGAAGGAAGGAAGGAAGGAAGGAAGGAAGGGAAAATTGTCAGCAGAAAGGACAAAAACAAATTTTAAACTTTTATGTTATTTTCTTGCTCCATACTTTAGATAGGGTAAAACTATCCAAAGAAGTGAAAGTTTCAAGATTATTAAAAGCCAAGTATAAACCACGAGTGCTGGCAAATGCCTATAATCCCAGCACTCTGGGAGGCTAAGGCTGGAGGATCGAAGTTCAAGCTTAGCCTGGGCAACTAGTAACATAGGGACTAGAAAAGATCAATAAAGGGATGGAATGTAGCTCAGTGTGAAAGCCCCAGGTTCAGTCCCAGGAGCACACACATCTAAAGTGCCAGTTATATGTGGATATGCTAATTTCACATAGTTTTCTATTAAGTAAGATCAATCAAATACCTATTCAAAGTTGTGTAACCTCAAAGTGAATGTAATTGAAAACAATAAGTTCATCTCCATCAAGTCTTTCACTAAGTGTAAGTACATCAAAATTACTGAAGTTGTATAGTATCAAGGTTGATCATATACTACCTCACTAGAGAGGAACGGGTAGGGAGAAAATATGAATTAAGCAGCAGGAAGCCACTTGGTTGAAAAAGAGAACTCCTCCACATTAAAGCTGAGATAACCAATTTTTTCTCTAGCAAATGGGTAAACATTTATCCCAAATGCCTCTCTAACTATGATTTTAAAAAAGTTGTGGTGGTAATAGAAATAATTCCTACTTAGAATATGTTGTAGATAAAAAAAAAACCACGTTTAGGGGGACAGATTTCATCTTTGCTTTTTCTGAGTCAAAGGGCAATACCATTTCAGGGCTTGATTAATTTGGAATCCACGCTGCCCGTGTATCACATAGACGAGCATTGGGGTGCTCATGCGGTGAGGCTTTCTTCTTTGGATTCCCTGTTAGCAAGTCCATGAGTTGCTCCAGTTTGATCACTGAGTTTTATTTACAAGTTGAAGACACTTCCAGAATCTGCTGTGAACTGCTTGGGGTGTTGCTTCTCTCACCTTCCACTGAAGGCGAGTACCACAGTGCTCAGAAATGCTGGGCCTGCTGGGACAGTGTTCCTGGGGACAAGGTACTGTGGCAAGAGAAAATAATCCCAAGAAAATAATCCCAAGAAAATTGACACCTTATTGTTTTATTTTGGCAGGAAAATATTTTGCAGAAAGTAGTAATGACAGCCTTTGCAGACCGCACGGTGGTTACCATAGCCGTGAGTATGAAAGACGAGTTGATCGTCTCCTCCTGCGTTTTTGCTCTAAGATTCTGTCGTTTTTCAACTTGAGCAATTAAATGACCTAAAATGTGGAACTGTGCTTTTCTAGGATAATCTTTCCATATCTGTACAAAAAAGAGTGAAAGAAATATGGTTATACTTCAAAAGCATTGCCCTTTTCTAAGATGAATGCTCTGCCTAATGCCCCTAAATTGTAGTGACAGAAACTCCTACCTCTAAGGGTTACAGGAGTTCATGTGTTGATCCTCTGTGCTAATTTTCTTTTCCATAATCGGAAGATCTGATGAGGAGTTTCAGAAGCAAGATTCTTAAGTGTCATTACCAATTCTGCCAATATTGATACTTAATCCATTTATCTGCTTAAAAAATAAAAATAAAATAAAACTAAATAAAAGAAAATTAGGTATGTCACAGCAGGGCAGGTGATCTCTCTATTTTAGATAGTACCAGATAGAAGAATTGCTTAAGTCCTGCCAATCCATGTTATGGCTTAATTAAAATAGGCTATGCAGGGCCAGGGAGAAAGCTCAGCAGCATAAGTGCCTGCTTGCCAAGCACAAGGTCCTGAGTTCAATCCCTGGTACTGCAAAAAATAAACAAGTAAATAAATAGTAAAATAAATACTAAAATAAAATAGGCTATGGTATTCTGTCTCTCCTGCTTTGCAGAGGGGTGGGTTCTTGCTGCAGTTAGTCTTACGGCTTAACAAATCTACTTTTTAATGAACCACTTGGGCCTTTTTCTTCCTGCTGATCTTTCTCTTCTTTCTGTTTCTCTCTCTAGCACCGAGTCTCTTCAATTACAGATGCAGACCTTGTTTTAGTCTTTTCTGAGGGTATTTTAGTGGAGTGTGATACTGGGGCAAACTTGCTCACCTACAAGAATGGGCTGTTTTCCACCTTGGTGATGACCCACAAGTAGACTCTCACGATCTACCCTGCGAAGTAGCTGTGCTCTGGTAGTTATCTTAGCGGTGTCCCCTCAGTGAGGAGAGGCTACTGCTGTGGCAAAGGAGGGGCTGGTGGAGGGGCCTGAGTGTCGCATATTATTACCCTTCTCAGCTTGAACAGGTACTTCTGGGATGTGTATTATTAAATAAGATGCATGAATGTGTTCTCACACACTACACAGGCCAGCAAGTATTTATGACACCCGAGACCCAGATTCATCTCCACCCTGCGGCCAAATGTTACCATTTCTTGTGCACATATTACAATCATCATTAAAAGTGTATGTGTTCCTCACCCGCTCTGAGGCATGCACTGTTCAATTTATTTTTATTTTATTTTTTATATATTAATTTTATTGAGAAAAAAGTAGCAATGAGACAGTTTCAAAACAGGTTAGTAGGACAGTTACAATGATTAATACATTGCATATTGTTGTCTTTGTAGTAGTCATTCATAGTACAAGATACAGACGTGACATCTTGACCAAGCACTATTAGTTCAATCTCTGTTCAGTTTAAATGGTCATTTACATTTAACTGCTGAGCAGTGAAAGGTAAATACAGATTGCTTGTTGCACTTCCACTTTCGTGAACGGTAAAAGGGAGAAAGCAAGCCCTAGGCAGTGCGGCCTTTTCATGGTTGCAGGAGATGACCCCCTATCCAGCCCAGGTAAAGAAAAATCCACTTTCTCTCATTTTCCCAGTGACCTCTGGGGTTCCTCTTCCCAGGAAGAGAGTCACCTGATAACTCCATTCACACTAAGGTATAAGTGATTTGAAAAATAGTTCTCAAGTACTTCCAAGATTTTTCACACTGGAGAAGGTAGGGAGATATTCTTGGGACTAAAGAATTCCTGGTGCCTCTACCTGAGCCAGGTTGGAGGGCAAGTAGATCTTCTCTTAATTAAAAGAACGATTTGTTATCATTCTGCATGAAGCATGATGTCATGGTGTCGCTGTGTGGTTCCAGTGAGTGTGTATCTGGAAGATTATTTGAGAACCATTTATATTTTATTTTTTAACCTGATTTTTGTTTTATATCCACTGAATATAAGTGTCTTCCACCTATTCTTCAAGACCAGTAGGGTGTTCATTAGAATTTCTTAAATTCTCCCCCATACAGAGAGAACCAACTCCTCATAATAGGCTCATTAAAAAAAGAGAACAGCACACTTAAGCAATCTAATGCAGAAGGGTCCTCAGCTCTGTTAAGAATTACCTTCCTTCTGTGACTAAAAGATGCTGTTGTTTTGGTTAACTGCCTCTAAAAATTATATAATATGTTTTAAAGTATAACTTTTTGCAACTTCTATAAAGAAGCCTAAATTCCCCTCCAAATAGTCCATGATTTTTATTTATTAAAATGATTTAGTCTTTACCCTTGATTTGATTAACTTCTCTTGGGCCAGGGAGATGGCTCAGTAGAATAAGCACTTGCCTGGTAATCGCAAGGGCCTGAGTTCAATCCCCAGTTCCAAAAAAAAAGAAAGAAAGAAAAGAAAAATATTAACTTCCTTGGAGTATTTTGAAAATTTTACCAACATTTTTCCTACTGATATCATACTTTGTTAACAAGAGAAAGTTTGGATTTAATGGAATAAACAGCCATATTTATTTCTACTAGCCAAGGTTTTTCATTGTTTTTAATATTTTTAGAGAACATAATTTAGACTATCAAGACAATGTTTAGAAGGCTATATTTATAAATTTAGAGGCCAAATTCTTTTTAAAACATCCTTGATGTGGATTTAAAAGAACTAATATTTTTCTGGAGTAAAAATGTACAACAGATATCATTAATTAAGGTTATGTTTTGTTTTTTTTTTTTTCCTTGACTGTAAAGGTGTCTAAATGGCTCTGGTCCAAGGATAAATAGGCATTGTCCTCTAAGTTTTGATAATTCCTAAATATATATTATATAGTGAGTGATCGATTTGTCTATGAATATTAAATATAGTGGGATGTTTTAGTTACTTTTTTGTGTTGCTGAGACAAAATACCCAATGCTGGAAGTTAGAGAAGGAAGGGTTCATTTGGCTCACGGTTTATAGAGGTTCTAGTTGATAATCAGGAGGGCACCAAGGCAGAGTAGGATGGCAGAGGAGCATCGCGGAGGACGAACAGTCCATGGCAAGCAGGCAGGAGAAAGCACATTGGCCCGCTTTCTGTCCCTTATATTTTACGTAGACTACTCCCCCCTAGGGCATGTATAGCATTCGTACCCTTCATCCTAGCCAGATCTATGCCAAACCCATTGGTGGACTGAATTAATAATAGCACACCCTTGATCCCAGCACCACACTCTAGATTCAACCACCTCTAAAAAAGCTCTGGCCCATTATTACATGAGGCTTGTAGGGGACAACAGCGAGATACAAGCCATAAGGTTGGGCGTGATCTAGGATGGCCTCCTATCGCTCCTGTGCATGTATTTTTATCCCCCCATGATGAGGAGTAACAACTATCATCATTTTTCTGAAAACATAAACACCGAGACTGTTCCATCTACATGGCCCAGGGCAGAAGAGAAACCTCAGTCCCTGGGGATGGCTTTCAACTGGACTTTGGATTGTTAGGAGAAAGGCATTTTGGAAGAGTGTGCATCCACTGAGGAGGTGACCTTTCCAGGCTTAGAGCTGTGGCAGGAATTTTTCATCAGCACGCTTGCTACTCCACCGTGTCCACCCCTAGCCACATATGGCTCCTGAGCACTTGAAACGCAGGTGGTATGATTTGAGCACTGCACTAAGCGTAAAATGCAGAATGCCTTTCGAAGATACTGTACTGATAGAAAAATATAAATGATCTCATGAAGAATGTTACATTGGTTACATGTCAAAATAATAACATTTTGGCCAGACTGAGTTAGCATATGTTACTAAATTAGCTTTTACTTTTAAAACAGAGCTCTTAGGAAATTTAAAACTACATGTGGCTTGTATTACGTTTTTTATTGGACAATGCTATCCTCAGCACATGTGAAGGCTCACCATGCTGATTTTGCCCTTCTGAATTATAAAAATAAAACATAGTAGGAGCTGACATTTATTCTTTAGGTCTATGCACCAGGCAATGTGGCTAAATTTTCTATATGGGCTGTCTCATTTGTTGCTATCACTCTCCAAGCTATGTGGTGTGATTGTTATCATTTTACAGACGTGACCTTGAAGGTGTGCAAAAAATGGTAGGTTGGTTTAGATTGCACAAAGCACAGGGAGTGATGCCACTGGGAGTCTAACCTCACGGCCTGCACTGTTCACCAAAACACAGGTAAACATTCCTCAGTGGCACTGAGGGATTCATACGCAACAGCTGGACTGCAGAGGAGAAAGACTTCACACTCAGAAGTCAGGGAACCTGCTTTTGATTCTGATGCTGCTGCTTGTTATCTATTCGTTTTTCTTACCTTCTGTGATCCCTTCCATTCTCCCCTATACAATGGAGAAAGAATACCAATAGCTGAGGGATACTCAGATGATGTACAACTATGCATACGGAATAGTTAATGTACAGCCTGTAAGAGACAACTTTGATCAACTATTAGCACTAAATCCTCTCTCCTCAGGCTTTAGTGGAAAGAGAATGAGTGACCCCCAAAACTGAAAGGCTGCATGTCTCAAGTCTTGCATAGCTCTTTCTAATACTGCATGTGAGAATGGACTTACCTATATCGTTCTCCTAGAATTTACTTCTTTCCCATGTTCTTCTAATTGCATATTGGTCCATGGCATTGATTGACTTACACAAGAGACAACAGTAAAATACAACACAGCTGGTCCTCAGTGGCTCCTCTTGACATTAAATTATTTGACAAACACTTATTAGCCTACTTTAGGTTCCAGAACAATGATAATGCTAATACATTAGCTACATTAAAGTTAATATGGTCCAAATAAAACCCAGCCAAATTGATCAGTATTTTAAAGTATATAAATAAATGATTCTCTAAATAAGAAGAAAAAGCGGGGGAGGCTGTGTATCCCACACCTCCTGGTATGTCATGATAAATAAGTATCCTTCAATAAGCTGTCAGAAGCAGACATATTCCACTTTCCTGGATTGGGCCCTCAGGTTGGTAACAAATCCTGTGTTCTTTCCATTCGTAGCATCGTGTTCATACCATTCTGACCGCAGACCTGGTTATTGTGATGAAGCGAGGAAATATTTTAGAATATGACACTCCCGAAAGCCTCTTGGCCCAAGAAGATGGAGTATTTGCATCTTTTGTTCGTGCAGACATGTGAAGAAGAGTCGGAAAATGACACGCATAGTTTTTTTAATAATGCAATCATAATCTGTTTAGTTATCATCATCAGACCCTCATAGGGAGGCGTCTTAAACTTTGACAATTTTTTTTTTACAAGATGATATTTTTTTCTTGTTCTGGATTAACTGTTTTCCATGACAGAACTGCTTCCTATGTTCATTACTGTTTTCCTAAGGATTAAGCCACTTGACCTTAATGGCAGGTTGTATTAAAACACGTAAGCTACTTTAAGTGATAAGTTAGCAGTTTATGTTTTCATAACTTTATGCCTAGTAAATATTTCTCACATACAGAAGTTGCGATGAGCAGTCAGTATTACTATGCTCTTATTTGTAAGAATAAATTTTCTTTATTGATGTCTCCAAATGTCATTGAAAGAGAATAAAAGGACATGTTTTCTCATGAAATGCTTAAATTCATTCTCTGCTTTATAAGAATAGACTCTGTTAACAACAGCAACAATGACTTTCTTAGCTGTATCTTTCTTGTCCTCTACATTGTTTCCTGTCACCAAGATGTCATCACAAGTAGCCAGGCATGGTGGAAGACACCTGCAATCCCAACACTTGGGAGGTTAAGGCAGGAGGATTTCCACAGGGTCGAGGCCAGCCTGGGCTACATAGTGAACTCATGGCCACTCTGAACTTCACAGTGAGACCCTGCCTCAAAAAAGAATACAATAATAAAATAAAAGAGTTTTTCCACATTTATAAGTTCTACAATTCCAATGCCTTAACTAGAAAGGTCACCAAAAGAGTTGGCTACTTGAAAATTTTACTGGTTTCCATTTTTCTCTGTCCAGTAAGGAAAGAGTTCATGAGCTATCAGGTATCATGTCCCTTTTCCTGAATGATACAATTTTGAAAGAAGGATTAGTTTTGACCCTTCATTGGTATGCCAATTACTCTTCCACAGTCTTTCCCTCATTAGCTTGTAGTTATGGTTGTAAACTCTAAAGTCACATTATTCTAGACTCAAAAATGGCCTTATTTGATATATATCTTAACTGCTGACAATCCATGACATGTGGACATTCCTCTAAGGCACTAGACACTCTGGAAATAGCCATATATATATATATATATATATATATATATATATATATATATATAGAGAGAGAGAGAGAGAGAGAGTCTATTTGTAGATAGAAGAGTTTACTGCCATATGTTCCTGCTCGAATATTTATATGTAAAAGTACATGAAAATTGGTAGGATATTACTGTTGTACTTTTCTTAAACATGACTTAATAAATTTACCATTATCAAAGGTTTCCTTTACTAATTCTATGCTCATTCAATATGAATCTTTTTGATTTTCATATAAAAGTCTCTCTATATTATAAGATCTTGAAAACTTATTGTTGGGAAAAGAGAAATTATGTTCCCACTCCATAGTGCTTGTGTTGTTTGTTGTGTTGTCTATTCATTCTGCAAATGTATACTTGTATATCAGAATATATCAGCATGCCTTCACCAGAGTAAAACACTGATGTTATAAAAAATAATTTCCACAAGGCTGGACAAAAGTGATTGTATTTATCTCTTGTTGCATATATAAATTACCACCCTTTGTTGCATATAAAAACCTCACCGGAAAAAAATAATACTATTGTTTCCTGAAAGCAAAGAGGAATATAATTGGTACCTGTAGATTCAATCTTGCAAATAGTTTCTAACATTTCAACCAATCTCAAATACTGCTGGTGTGAAAATGTTTGGTAGGGTTGAGTATACGTGATACTTGTTACCAAGTCATACCTCATCCTTTCAGAGAAGTATAGTTTTTATTCATAGAAATAATCCCTTACAATATTTATAAATCATATAAATTGTACTTCTATATAGCCAGTGTCAGGAGTGGCTTATCTAATTACATCAAACCAAAATCATAGTTGCTACCAGACCCCTCATATCTTTTATCATTTAAGTTTACTAAATATTTGATTATTTCTAAAGCTAAATTGACTAAGTAAGACAAGGATCATGCCTTTAATCAAACAATCATTTATTCCATTATCTGTGTTATCCATTGACTATTGCAATGAGTTGTCTTAAAATAACTTGGTACTATCTGGGTGCATATCCATAAAAGACTAACGACCATATCAAATTTTACATTTACAAATGTTACACTTGATTACTATAACCAGATCAATTTTAGAAATTTTAATTCCTTAGTATGTATAAAAAGCAGTAAGTGCAGAAAGCTTTATGTTAAAATAGTGTTATTATTATCCTTGAGATGGAACATATAGTTCTCTTAAAGGACTGCACTCTCCACTTTTGTATTCCTCATGATCCATCTAGTGCTAGACGATCCTTCTAAGTTGCTTGTATTTGAGATCTGGGGCCAAGTGTTGTTTGTTTTTGTGCCTTTGGTACTGAGTACAAATTCCTAGCCCAACAGGTAGGCCCTAATAAATATAGTTGACTGATCCATTGATATACCATATACTTATAACTATGGGTACTCTCTTCATTTTTCTATATTGTATTTATTCTCCTATTTATTCTCTAAGACACATAAAATATGTTTATTTTCTAAAAAATATGAAAACATGTCACCTTGTGTTGCATAATAAATTACTCCTTTTGTACGCAAAGAGAGTGATTTTTCTTTCACTTATAGATGTATTGGGTAATAACCAGGGCTAATCAGTAAATTAAATAAACACCATTTACAAGACAATACCGGGCCATATTTTCTTTTTTAAAATTTTTTTACTTGGTACAGGGTCTCGCTATGAAGCTCAGACTTGTAGTGATCCTCCTGCTTTCAGCCTCCCCAGTGCTGGGATTACAGGCATGCACCACCATACCTGGTCTCAGTGGTTGTGGCTCAGCATGCTCAGGGATGGGGCCAACATAGCAAGTGGTGCTGGGGATCAAACTCTGGTCCCTGTGCTAGCCTAAGCAGGCATTTATTCCACTGAGATATTTTGCCAGCCTGACTGGCTGTATTTTCATGATTTTGTTTAATATATACAAGTCATGCATTCCATTACTATTACAGATAGACTCCAGGAATGGTTCATTATGTAGAACAGCTATATTAATAATTTTTATATTTATAATT